GTTGCTGGGTAATTTATATCTCTTGGCTGTAACCAGCAGCAAGACAAGAGGGCCTACTCCTAGTAACATCGGTGGATTGCCCTCGGGCCAAAGCATGTTTAGTCCACAGTAGACTGCCAAGTCCCTGCAGAGTTACTTCTATCTCCTAGAGGTGAACCTCTTTCCTACCACACGTGTGGTAACAGCCATGAAACTTGTGCAGAGAGGTTATAGGGCCAGGAAAGTCAGTAACAAATGCCTTAGAGCAGCCCAGAACGTTTCTCAATTCTGATCATGTGCCGACTTAGTAGACCAGTCTTAAAACAAGAATGCCAGCATACAGCTTTATAAACATTTAGCTTCTTGATTTACAATCATACTTTCAATTTAACTCATGAAACTTTCTCACAAAGTCTACGTTTGCCACGTGAAAAGCACAGTAGAGAACTGCAAGGCACAACCAATGTCTGCTGTAAGGAAAAAAATAAACAGATTTCCCCTAATACAGAACAGCTACGCTATCAAAAAATGAATACACTTCTTGAAAAAACCTTTGTCAGGCTGCTTTTCACTACGGTACTTTTATAACACTGTAAAGAGCTAAGATGAAATTATAAAAAATAAATGCAAGTTAAAACATTGACTCCGCTACTCATTTAGACAGCTCAGAGGGCTTCCCCTCACACAGGCAACATGATATTATTGTATCACCTTTTGCCTAATCCTCTGTCAGGCTATCTAAAATTATCAACTCTTTGTTTTGCAACTTTGCTTCTTATCCTTTCATCCGCTAATTAGCTTTTCAGCCTTCAGTCTTTACTCGACAGGGTCAAAATATATTGGCAACCAGTTTATACTTTACACATTTATTCTGACCAGTGTCCTACAGCACACGGCATGAATGCTGCCTTACAGTACCTCTCATGTCTCCTGACAAGCACAATGTTTCTGCACAGACCTAAAAGCTAAACTGGGTAGGAGCTACTTTCAGAGTCATTTTACCCCTTTAAATAGATATTTAGAAGTTTTTAGACAGCGGAAGTTTCAGATAGAACATCAATTTTCTTCCCAGATTTTTTCCACAGAGGAACTATCATGTTTTTTCTAATCCACAGACATTAAATCAGGAAATACATGCAAGATATCTGATTCCAGAACTAGTAAAGCTGGCAAGGCCCAGAAACGCAATCCGTACTGACTAGCTGAAACTGGAAAAGGTCATCTCCATAGCTCACTACATGGTAAACACGGAGAACATCCAAACTCCAACCACAACCCCTACACTGATGAAAACTTAAAAACCTCAGAACATTCCCCTACAACATGCAAACCATAATAAGTGCAAAACCACCCTCTCCCTCTTACCGCTATAAGAAGGCAAAGGGAAAAATTATTTAACATCTTCACTGCCTAATGCTCTAAAGGAGGAAAAAAAAATAAAACACACCAATTCTTTGCAGCAAAGCATGCTTACTCCCGTGAAGAAAAAAAATATAAATAAGTGCAATGCAAAGAAGGTATAAACAGTAAAGCAGAGAAATGTAAGGAAGTGCTAGAGTTTTACTATCCGCTGAAAGTGACAGGGAACAGCAATCAGAATATCCTGGTTACTATTACACTGATCACCTCACAAACAGAAATACCAACAGGCAACTACTTGTCTGACAGTGACAGCTGGCTCAAGTACCAAAAAGCGCCCCTATTTTTATTAGCAGATAGTAGCAGAAAGCTTAGTTTGGATTCACAATAAATTAAAACCAATTCTTCAGTCTCTATTACACAGGCTACTGAAAGAACACGCAAACTTACATATATATGTTATCTGAAATGGGAGAAAAACAGTAAATGTTAAGCTAAGGAAGACTATCAGCGAGAATCCATGTCTTATTCTACCACATCTGGTCAAACAATTACAAATATATGGGACTGCTTGCTCAACAACTCAAGCTCAATAATTCAGGCACACACATTTCACAAGCACCGAGGTGACAGAAAACTTTTAAGTTAAAAGAAAACCACAGGTACATATTTGCTAGTATCATGTACTTCTGCCTTATTAAGTGCTAAATATGTTTAATTTATCCTATGAAGACAAATAATGCCAGTTCTTCACAATGACACATTTACTGATCCAGAAGTCATACACAGAAAAAGGCTGAGTAAAAAATAAAATCTAATAATAAAGAATTGAATAGCTGTAAGCTGTAGGGTACACCGTAAGTAGAAGCATTGCAGAATTTGTACATCTTTAATACAGGCAGAATTTGTCAACCTAATAGCTGCACTAGACAGCAATTACTGAGGAAAGCCATTGCAAAGAAACTGGAGAATGACTGTTAGTATTATTGAACAAACCAGACAATATCTATGTATAAAAAGACACTCTGAGAAAATAAACACAATAATGGCAATAAACGACTAGAACAAGAGAGTTTGCATCCAAGCATTCTGCAGAAAATGGAGAATAAAGTAACTGAACCATTAAGTAGAATATTAATAAACTCATTCAAGTCAATACCTAAGCTCCTTATACTTATTTTATGATCTCCAGTTCATACTGTTTAATTGTAAATCCAGTCTTTTCCATGAGCAGAAATACACCAGTTTTACTGGAGGAAAAACCCTAACAAAAATAACCAAACTACATACTTGGAAACCCAAGAGAACAAACCCCATTTGAACACCTTTTCAAATGCAGCTATTCATCCCATTGTTCTAGATGCAGCTATCTCTATATATGATGTATATCACACAGTGCCTCTGCAAAACAAATTTATTTCTAACTTCATACTTCCTACAACAGAAGGCAGATTTAACTTAAAATACAGTACCTCAGAACTACACAAAATTCTCTTCCTGAAGCCCTCTCCTCTTCAAGTCATCCTCCAACATCAAGTTTTAATGACCAAACACTCATCACCAAGCAAAGCCATGACACACATTCTACCTAAATGTTTTATTGGACTATTCAGACGAAGCTTTTTTTGATTCACAGCTTCAAGACTTTTATTTCCAAACATTTAAGCTTATTATTAAAATGAAAGCTTAGATTTCCAGCTAAACTTCAAGCTATACAGAAACTGTAGAGCCGCACCAATTCATAAGGCTGCCTAATCAAGAGACACTCACTGTTCTATAATTAAATTTTTTTCCAGTACTTCCACATTAGAGAATTGAAGTGATTCCTTTTACTAAGCATCCTGATAACAACATTATGTGAAAACATAAACCAAGATCAAGTTCACAAGAGAAGTATGCACATTAGAATTTTACCAATTAGCACTGAAATTTCTGAGCTAATTCTATACGTATGTATAGCTTTACCTAAAAGTGTATATTCATGAAACATTTACTTGCAATATAGCTAACCAAGATGAAAGTAAAAGGTATAATGACATCCTCACCTAGTTTTTACAGAGAGAAATCTGCCTGTGTCTTGTTGCCCCCAGAACTTCACAGCACACTTATTACTAACACACACTTATTACTGCCCTGGGCTCCATTCCCCCTTCCTCAGCCTTAACTTTTTGCAGGGCAATTTCTCCATTGCAGAATCGACTAGTTTTACCTACAACTTAGTTAAACACAGATGAAAAGACACCCTTAAAAACTACTCTCGGCGATGCATCCACATGGCAGTGCCTGCACTAACCGTGAATCATGTAGAAAAACTTGACCTTAGCTTTAAATTCAGGACCTCAGGTAATGTACATGAGAGCATTTACCTCACTTCTCAACAGCTCACATGTTCCAAGGCATCTATACCATTACAGGGAGTCATCAGAGGAGAGGAGGGAATTGTTGGGCAACTTAAGAGTAGACTAACTAACTGCAAAGATGCCTGAATTTGTGTAGGCATTTAACAAACCTGCATACCCAAGCTGTTACCTATACAACACTTGTAGCAAACCAAAAAACAATTAATCTGGATATCAATATTACCAGAAAATAGTAAGTCAAACAGATCGCTCAAATAAGGAGCTATACAAACCCCAAAGGTCTGCCCACTACTTCTCAGATTCATTTTTTTGTAGAGAATGAAAATGTGACACTGAAACCTAAAGAGTCGTGATTAAAAAACAGTAATTACAGACTGTAAAAAAAAAAGTTAACTTTATGAAGAGATATCAAAACAAGTATTCTTCAAGTTAGTGAAATGTTAAACATGGTAAAGTGAAGTACTGTTTACAGTAGTGAGCATATCTACTTTAGCTAGGAAAACACTTTGTTGAAAGTTGGTTTTATTCAACAAGCCTCAACTCTATCCCGTAGTAGCCACTCCTACACGCATTTTCATAAAGCAGATCTGAGCTTGCAAGATACCATGCTACAAACAGCGTTATCCACAGCCGGTGAAGTGTCTCCGGAAACAAACATTCCCTCATTTTGCTACAAACAGCTCGGGAAACTTTTTTTTTGTTGTTTTTTTTGTGTTTTTTTTTTTCTCCTGGGACACACCTCTGAGCACGGTCACTCCTCCCACCCACATACACACATTTTAACGAGCATCATGTTCAACACATCCAGTGCGGTTTGTAGTGGTGGTACCGAGGTAACCTCAGGACTGTCCCCACGCCATACAAAAACACTTTTCTCCCCAGCCGCAAGAAGGCTCCTCGGGGTCTCTCCGCCCTTTTACAGTTTGTCCAGCCTGGGCGAACCGGCGGGCGGACGCCTTTTCCCGGGGGACTCGGCAGCCAGCCACGGCACCGGGTAAGCGGCCTCGGGGGGGCGGCCGGCGCGTCCCGCCGGGGCCCTGTGGGGAAAACCGAAGGGGGGTGCGGAGGGGAAGCACCTTCGACGGCCGCGAGGGGCGGCCGCACGTAAGGCGGGCGGCGGGGAGGGGGCGGCGCTCGCCCGGCTCTGCCCCGGGACAGGCGCTCGCCGGGGCGGAGGCGGGGGGAGCAGCAGAAGCCCCGGCGTCGATGGGGCAGCGCCCTTGAGCCGCCGCTCGGGGCCCC